CCTCGGCCTCCCAAAGCGCTGGGATTACAGGCTGAGCCACCGAGCCTGGCCTGCATCTTTTTTTTAAGGCATAGTAAATAACATGTCTTCCAAGCAGGGTTTGGCTGAGATTTCACAGTGTAACACATGTGGAGTCCGCAGACAATCTAGTCATTATTACCCAGTCTAGAGGGAGCCTGGGGGCTCGCGGAGCTGGGCACAAAGCCCCCGGGTGGCCAGCGCCCTCCCGTCCCATCCCTGTAGCCAAGCAACACGAGCTGATGACGCTGGACGGTTTCATGATGTACTTGCTGTCACCTGAGGGGGCCGCCCTGGACGAGGCCCACACACGCGTGTTCCAGGACATGAGCCAGCCGCTGGCCCATTACTTCATCTCTTCCTCCCACAACACCTACCTGACTGACTCCCAGATCGGGGGGCTCAGCAGCACCGAGGCCTACGTGAGGTACTGTCCTGGGGGGTGCACAGTCTGGAGCAGGACAGTACCTGGGGGGTGCACAGTCTGGAGCCCCGCTGGGGAGGGGCATGGGGCTGGCTGCCTGGGGCCACCTGGCTCCATCTACCCTGGGCCACACGGCGGGACCTCATCTCTACAAAAAATCGGCTGGGCATGGTGGCACACATCTGTAGCCCCAGTTACCCAGGAGGCTGAGGAAGGAGGATCCCCTGAGCCCAGGAGGCTGAGGCTGCGGCACCCCACCCTACACCTTACCCATTCAGCCGTCCGTCCATCTGCAGGGCCTTTGCCCAGGGATGCCGCTGCGTGGAGCTGGACTGCTGGGAGGGCCCAGGAGGGGAGCCTGTCATCTACCACGGCCACACCCTCACCTCCAAGATCCTCTTCCGGGACGTTGTGCAAGCCGTGCATGACCACGCCTTCACGGTGAGCCTGGGACACCCATGCCTGGCCCCAGAGCCTCCCAGTGGCCCCCGCCCCACTCCCATGCCAGCTGCCTTCACCAGGGGCCACGGGGTGGATGAATGCTGGTGGAGACACCCCTTCTCCCACTGGCCTGGGAAGGAAGGGTGTTAAAGTCAGAGTTTCCAGGAGACGGCCTTGGGGAAGCACATTTAATCCTGCCTTCTCAAATGTAAGCCATAAGAGATGGCTGTGGCATCTCTGTAAACATGGTGACTTCTGTCACAGTGTGCAACCGCCACCATCGACACGACGGGGATAGTGTGTGGCATAACTGACACGGTCACTGTCATCCGTCACTGTCATCTGCGTGCAAAGAACATTTGTGCCAGAAAACCATTCCTGCAGCTGCCCTCGGCCTTCCAGGCAGCCTGCCCCTTCCCTGAGGCCTCTGCCCCTCCCCAGACACGCCTGTCCCTGTGTGTCCCACATCTCACCCCTTCTGCCCCCCCAGGTCTCCAGAGCCCTGCCTGTGCCTGCCCATCGGGAAGGGTCTGGGGTGGGGGTGTGGGGGGGTCCTGGCAGGGGGAGGAGCTGTGTTCTGAGCTGCCACCTTTCCCCCCACAGCTGTCCCCATACCCTGTGATCCTGTCCCTCGAGAACCACTGCGGGCTGGAGCAGCAGGCTGCCATGGCCCGCCACCTCCGCACCATCCTGGGGGACATGCTGGTGACACAGGCGCTGGACTCCCAGAGCCCCGAGGAGCTGCCATCCCCAGAGGTGATGCCCCAGACCCGCCGCCTGGGTGGAGGGAGGGTCTGCCCCGCCCCCACTCATGCCAGGCCTCTGGCTCAGCACCTTCCTCCTCTCTGCCCTGACCTTCCCTGCTCCTCCGTTCTGGTGACTGCTGCACTGCTGGCCACGTCCCTCTACTGCCCTCTGGCCCTCCATTCTCCACTGGACCCACCCCCTTCCTGACCCCGCCCCACTGGCCCAGCATCCCCATCCAGAGTCCTACCTGCAAGGCCTGGGTGGACACTGTCTTCCCTCCACCCAGAAGTCCCTTCGGGCCATCTGCCCTGCCCGAGTGTCACTTGCGTGGGGTTGCAGCCATCTCTTCCTGGGGCCTCTTCTCCTCCCAAAGCCCCGAGTGTGTCTGCCCTCCCAGGACGTTGATCGTTTTGGGGCTCCTTGAGAAAACTCTCCTACATCCAACCCCACAAGTGTGGGAACGTTGACTCACCTTGTGTGTGTATGAGAGTTGATTCTGTTATCAGTAGGAAAATAACATCCATATGGTAAAAAAAAAAAAATCAAGCTGGGCACAGGCAGTACCCGGGAAGATGATGTCCCGCACCCAGGAGCACCCTCTCAGGTTTCCCAGGCCATAACCATCCTCAGTGGTTTCCTGTGGGTTCTTCCAGAAATTCCCCACACACGTACCCCCCATGTCCCATGCATACCTGTCTTCTCCTTTAAATGTCACAAGAAGGGACCACACGGCCACATGCCTTGGGCTCCCTTCTTCCCTGTAAAGCCCTTGTTGAAGGTGGCCCCATCTCTGGGTCCTGAGCTGCCTCGCTGGTGGCCATGGCTGCCGCGTGGTGTTCTGATGCCTGGAGGGACCGCACCTCATTCCCTGCGCCCTTTTGGCCTGCTCCTCACTTTTCTTATTGAAAACGTAACTCAGCCAGGCTCGGTGGCTCAGCCTGTAATCCCAGCACTTAGAGGATTGCCTGAGACTGAGGGTTTGAGACCAGCCTGGGCAACTTGGTGAGACCTCGTCTCTACAATAAGTCACAAAAAATTAGCTGGGCATAGTGGCATGTATTTGTAGTTCCAGCTCTTTGGAAGGCTGAGGCAGAAGGATTGCCAGAGCCCAGCGGGTCGAAGCTGTGGTGGCTGCGAGCGTGCCACATCACTCCAGCCTGGGCAACAGAGGGAGACTCTGGCTCAAAAAAAAAAAGAAACACCAGTCATCCCTGTGTCTCCTCTCCTGCCGCCAGCCCCAGCCAACCCCCAGCACAGCGGTGGTTCACGTAACCCTTTCCCTTCATGTTGGCCCCACAGCAGCTGAAAGGCCGGGTCTTGGTGAAGGGGAAGAAGCTGCCCACCCACCGGAGCGAGGATGACCGGGCTGTGTCAGACCTGGAGGAGGAAGAGGAGGAAGAGGAGGAGGAAGAAGAGGCGGAGGCCACAGAGCAGAGGCGGCTGGTGAGTGCGCTGCGGGAGGCTGAGCAGGAAGACTGAGCAGGGGAAGGGGACTGCAGCAACTGAGGCTATTGTCCCAGGCCAAGCAAATCTCCCCGGAGCTGTCGGCCCTGGCTGTGTACTGCCAAGCCACCCGTCTGCGGACCCTGCCCCCCACGCCTGGTGTCCCCCAGCCCTGCCAGGTCAGCTCCTTCAGCGAGCGCAAAGCCAAGAAGTTCATCCGGGAGGCAGGTAGGGGCCAGGACAGGGGGCGCCGGGGAGGGTAGGATGGCCGTGGGGGGGGTCTCCTGAAGTCAGTCTGGAATGAAGTTTGGGGTCCTTAGGGGGCAGCAGAGAGGTCGGAAGGACCCCAGAGAGGGGCTCAGCCCAGGGAAAGAGGGCCCAGGAAAGGTCCAGGGCTGGTGGAAGGAGGGGCGAGAGGGCTGAGGCTCACAGCCTCTTGGGGGCCGTACATGGTCGAGCAAACCAGATGAGGCTGTGATGGGCTCGGGGTGGGGTCGGGGTGGGTCCCTGGGGCGAGTGAGGCTGAGAAGACCATCACCTGAAGGATGGGGAGGAAGTAGCCAGTGAGCAGGGCAGAGGAGCAGGCGGTCTGAGCACGACCCTGGGAAGGAACCCAGCGTGACTGGAGGATGTGGACAGGGTGGGGGGTGGGCAGGGAACACCAGCCCAGGGCCAGGTGACTGACGCACTGGGCAGGAACATGGAGCCAGACTGTGAGGCTGGAGGGGGTCCCTGTGGCCTCTCCTGTGAGGTCGGGGGAGGAGGGGCTGGGTGGGAGTGAAGGCCTGTTCGCAGAGGGTTGCAGGGGCGAGGGACCCCGGAGGCCGGTCACGCTCCCGCCCAACCCTGCCTCAGGGAACAGCTTCGTCCGGCACAACGCTCGCCAGCTGACCCGGGTGTATCCGCTGGGTCTTCGGATGAACTCTGCCAACTACAGTCCCCAGGAGATGTGGAACGCCGGCTGCCAGATGGGTGAGCGGGGCCTGGAAAGGGAGGGTGCGGCCTTCTGCCAGGTGAAAACACGCAGACACTGGGTGTTTTTCAAGTGGCCAACGACCTAGGTGGGGAAATCAAAACTGTCAAGGTAGAAACTGGAAACCTTCACCCCCTTCGTGGGCCTCTGACGGGAACAGACGGGCCCACGAAGTCCACACTGATGGGGCAGGCTCTGGGGGCTGCCGAGCATGGAAACCCCAGGCTTCTGGCCCCTGGCTCTGCCCCAGTCCTGGCCTGGCCTCAGGTGCGGGGTTTCTCCAGCACTGCCCAGCTCAGCCCCCACCCTCCAGCCTAGCCGGACACCCAGGATGAGGCAGAGGTGACAATGGGGTCTGGCCCATGCCCCCTTGAGACCTAGTGGGCAGGGCAGCCCTGTCCCGACAAAGAAGCAAGCCTCTGTGGGGGAGCCAAGTCCCCCACAGCCACGCAATGAGAGGGCCACTGAGGGCCTGTTGTGACCCCACTGTGTCCACAGTGGCCCTGAACTTCCAGACACCGGGCTATGAGATGGACCTCAATGCGGGGCGCTTCCTGGTCAACGGGCAGTGCGGCTACATCCTGAAGCCCGCCTGCCTGCGGCAGCCCGACACAACCTTTGACCCCGAGTGTCCCGGAACCCCCAGGACCACTCTCACCATCCAGGTCAGCGGCTGGACCCCCGCCTGCCTGGCCTGGGCCAGAGCTGGTTCTGG